TGTCAAGATTAGTATAGTTGCATTTTTCTATAGTGCAAACAGGAATGATGTAGTTTTGTTTCGGAAAACAAACATATTTGCTTTATTTTAGTAGTCAGGTATTACATTGCCTTATGTAGGGTACCATTTGGTTTTAATGGACGTTCTGCTCACAGTAACTTCCAAGACTTGGTGTTCGGGTGCCTCACTTTAGTTTTCTTGGAGCACTGTATTATTAATGACTGCCTTATCAGACAGCTTACACCCATTTGCAGATCTGGAATTGAAGCATTTGTTAGCGATTATCTGCAATATTTGTGTAGCTGGAGAGGAAGGTGGCATGTTTATGAATGCAAAATATATACTTAAACCTGAGTGCCAGCAAATGCTCACATGCCACTTTGCAGGTTTTTTGTGCACCTGGCATCCCAGCTCAAACCCTCTTAACAAAGAAGAGAAAAAAAATTCAAGGAAACGCAAACATAGGAGGTGTTCCTCTGCTGTCAGCTAGCAGCTAGAGATGCGTTTTTTTCTGATGTGATCCCGTTTTACTATTTTTTATTTTTTTTTGCTACACCTGTTCAGTATATTGAGTTCAGTAGATTTTTACAGGAAAAATACCGGCATGTTCCTGTCATTCACATATTGTTTCTTTGATTTGAGACCACTTGTTTTATTCAGTAGGATATGGCAATCATAGCTATACATAATTTCTACAGAAAATGGTGCTTTATTTCTTGCTTGAAAAATGGTCAGCTTACCTTGCGAGTTACCTACTGTATTTATCTTAGATACTGACAGAGACAGTTGCAGAACTATTATATGGGCAGTTTGTAATGACTGATATTAAGTTACTTATGGTAGAGATTTTAATAAAGGATTATATGATTTAAAGAAAAAAAAATTATAGACTTCAGTAGATCCTACTAATTTACTTTAAAATCTCCACCTTTTTGCATTCTCCTTGATAAATTCTTACAGACTCTTGGAAAGAATAGCTCCTTAATCACTACTAATGCACTTCAAACAGTCCTATCATTTGAAATAATTGTTCTTAAAATGGCATTTCTGTTGCCCTGTATTGCTACCTAGGCTTATTTATCATATATATTCTCATAGTTCTACTGACAGGAGCAAGTGCTTATACTGTCGATACACCTGCAAACCCAAAGCCAAGCTTTATTCTGCTGAGACCCCTACGTCACCAATGCATGGTGGCGACTGAGTGCCAGGTTTAGGATGTACATTTTACTGAGAGTGTTGACTAGGTCACTTGGTGCTCTTTCAGGTGTCCGTATGTATGGCAGCATCTCTTTTGTCCATTTAGAATTTTTGCTTCATCTTTCAATATCTTTCAGTCTCTGTATTTATGCTCTGGTTCTGGCTTCTGTTTGTTCTTCTTGGCTTCCTCCATGCTCAGATCAGCACAGTGGACTGGTTCTGAACCTTCCATGTTCTTCCCTTTGTTTTAACTCTACCAAAAGAAATCCCAGAACTGAAAATCCAGGTTAGAGAAATGTTCTTAAGATACAGTTGAGAACAATTCTAGTTCATTGTCTCTTTTTGTATATTCTAATATATTTCAGCTACAAACTGCAAGCCGAAGTGCTGTGGGTTGAGCCCTAACACAGTCAGCATCTATAGGAGTTGTGCTTTTCACTATTAGCAGCATTGTATTTTGCTAAGACTCTGGCTTTTGTCCTCAGGTGCCAGTAATATCTGTCAGGACATTGCCTGTGTTGAAATTGTAAGATTTAATCTGTTATGAGTCCGTCCCTTGCAGTACAAAGCCCCATGTGCTGGAGCCAGTCTGCAAATGCGTCTCCTCTGCCAGCGCTGTGAATTAATGCTACAGAGCACACAAGTTGCATTTAAGAAGAATTTGCAGATATCATAATGCTGCGTGCGTAAAACCGGTGTGCTATTTGTCTGTATGTAGGAAGTTTTAAGGACTGGATGTTTGTTTAAGCTCTGCTCTGAATCCCTAAGCAAAAATAACTGGGATTGCAGTAAAGATTTTGTAGAGCTCCCCACATCTTCCTCTTTAAACCCATCTGAAGATTATTTGAACTATTTTTTGTAATATCTCCTTGTTTCCATGCAAGAGTTTCACATCTGATCACGTCTTACTAGACTCCGTATGTTGCAAGGAGCAGTCTGAGTTTGTTTGTTTGTTTAAGCCTCAATTAAAGGAGGTTGTATCTTTAAATACTGTACAGCAGGCCTGGAAAAGCTCCACAGAGGGGAAGGCACAGCTGTTCCATCATGGTCCGTCATGGTTTCCATGTGTCCCGTAGGCAATATCTTTCTTAAACTCATCTTGTAAAATTACCCAATTCCTTATGCTTGTGCGTCTTTAGACTCACAGTAGTAGGTGGGTCTTTGGAAGTTATTTTTTTTTTCTTTGTTTTTCCCCTTCACCTGCCATGCATCTTACAGATCTGTCGTGACATGATCTGGCCTCATTCGATCTCTCACAAGTGTAAAAGTCAGTCCATTTTCCCTGCAGCCTCTACCATCCAGCTGTTGGTTTTCAATTAAAGCGTTAACAGAAGAAGACAAATTGCTAAAGAAGTTGTTGACTAGCTTCTGACTGCCAATAGTTAATTTTTCTTTTGGGTTAGACCCTGGAAGGTACTGAATAGCTGTCAAAGACATGTTGGAACTCTGTCTTATTCCTTCTAAAGGAATAAAAAAACCCCCCCCATGTCATTTTCAATGACATTAATGAGAATTTCCCCCCCTGCAAACATATTGTAACTGTGAAATAACAAGGCAGGGAAACTTTAATGTTATGAAGTCTTTAAATGTCAATGCCATTTCTGAGACCATCAGGGCAGATTTAATGGTGGCCGAGGTCAACAAATGCTAACTGGTACCTCTCTTTTAGGGCCTTCAGGGACTCTTAATAGAGTCTCAGCCATGAAGTTAATTTGCGATGTGGGCCTGTATTCTTAGAGCTGCTTTTGATGATTATTTTGTACCATCTTCATTCATGTGCTTAACAATCTCTTGTCTCTCCAGTCAATAAAACAAAATGCTAAAATTTTATCTTTCTGAGTCACCTTATTTTTACTTCTATTCTTGGGCTGCAGAAGTGTATGTGCGTGCTTTCTGCAGATCACCCTAAGCTGCCAGCTGTGATGTGATCCTCTGAGAATACCTTCAAGTCTGCCACCTTCTGCTGTCCTAGGGGGCTGGGAAACTGGCCACCTTGAAAGCATTTTTCTGTTGGAGCCCTAAATACTTTATTAGAAGAAGCAGGTGATGAGGTGGGAAGTGAGAGACAGCATGTAACCACAGGATTCTCTTATTTTTCTTTTTCTGTAATATTGCATCCTCTTGCTGGTCATCCCTTTGCATATTGTCCAATTTAGATTAAAAGGGTTTTGTAGCCTTTATTTGTCTAGAAAATATGGCACACTACAAATAATAAATAACAAAACTCCATCTTTTTGGCAGCATGTTTTATTTCTGCTCAGTTGCCCTGCCAGCCCCTCTGACTTTAAAATATTTTAATGTCCTGCATTTTTCACCCAGTCCAAGCACTGGACTTTCCTCAGACATGTAGCATTGACATTAGCGCAAATGCCTCCAACTCACTGGGCCCTTTGGGGCAAAACATGGCATCCTTGGCTTTCAATCACATGGTGGAGAGAATATGCTTGGATCCACAAAACTGGAAATAATAAAATATGAGTATTCAGGCGCTAATCCATGTTTATTTACATTCTGTGAAGTCTACAAGGAACATGTAATTGGTTGTCTTGAAGGGCAGCAGAGTATATTTGGTATTTTTTTTATTTATATAAAAGAATTTAAATTATACATATAAACACTGCCTAGATTTGGATTATATCTCTTCTAATCCTTGCTGGATGCTTGCATTCCTAAGTTCCGGTGTTTTGGGGCTTGCTCACTGTCTTCCACTCAAGGTGAATGACACCAATCTATTGTAAGCTTTGCTAGAGTGCAACTAATACTTTTCTTTCTATCAGCAGATACTAGATTTCCCTGCTACACCATTTTCACTGCAGTGGTTTTGTTATCTTTAATAAACCTGGCTTCCGTAATTAAAAAAATTAGACCTTTGTGAAAGGTCCCAAAGGCTGGAGGAGTTTAAATTCAGTTTGTTATTGAAATTAATGCACAGGTCTAGCAAAAGGAATGTGAGTGCCTGATTCACTGCTCATCTGATGTGCATAAAATCTCAAATGCTTAACTGCCTAGATGAGCCATAGTGCAAAGATACTCCAGGATGTAAGTAGGATTTTGATGTCTGTTACATAATAGCCACGAATATAACAAAACCACTAGAATTTGCTCGCACTGGGTTGACAAATGTGAATTACAGTTGCTTTCTTTCTTCAGAGTTTTATCAGAGTATAATCACTTGCCCAGCTTAATTGAAAAATCACTTACGTTTATAGCTGAATTTAAACATGTTTTGTATTTAAATGACAGCTTTTGATGTACAACCATTTTTTACAGAAAGTAGTTGGTTTTTATCTGTGTTTCTGTAAAGATATTTCAAAAACTCTCATCAAATTTCCAGGGGTAAGTAATATCCCATTCAGTGCAAGGTGAAATGTTTTACATCAAATCTCCTGCTGTGTAATGGCCAATCAAAGAGTATTTATAGTGGCTGAATGGATTTTTTGGCTCAGTATTCAAAATTAAACATTTTCAAACCTTAACATTTAATGTTTTTTGCCACTCTTCAAGTTGATTTTATGTAACCCTAGATGCTCACAACTACTTGATACTCTGAAGTGACTCATTTTATGCTGAGGATCTTGGAGGCAGTAGTTTTACATTTATTACACTTGTGTAGATGGAATAAAATGTAGATTTGATAGCAGATTTGTGTCTATCTTCTGATAAACATTTTCATGGGTCTAGCTGTATGTCGATCAGCACGATGCAGGGAATCTGTTTCTGAGAGAACACATTTGCCAAGTGAAATTAATGATCAAAGATAAATTTTGGTAATTAACAGGAAATTGTTTCTCTTATTGCAGGTATCCAGTAAGAAGAGCTTATGCCAACAACTGTGTTTGGAGCTAGATGGTTCCTACTTGGGTATTGCAGGACCTCAAGCTTTTTATAAGAACAGTAGAGCATCAAAGACTGGAAGCCCAGCCCGTGTTTCATTGTCTCAGCCTTGCAGGAATAATCACAATTACAGGACTGAAACCCATTACAACCATCAGGAGTGCAGGAAAGCACACCCAGTAGAAAATGGCTTGCACAGAAAGTGTAACAACGTGATTTCTCCAGCCAAGCGGAGCAGCCCTCACCATGTAAAACCGGCTCAGGAGATGGACCAGAAGGCAAAGGAATTTCAGAGCACATGCCCTCAGCAAGTGAGTCAGGGTTGTCCCTGCAGGCATGTCGGGAGCTCAGGGAGTGTGCAGGAGGGCCACCATGTCAGCCAGGTCCTTAGACAACACTCTGGGCCAGTTCACAAATCCTGTGATTATTCTAGGCCCTCTCGAGTTTCTGGGCTGAATGACAGTGTGGATTCAGGGTCTAAAGAAACGGAGCAGGGTAAAAGGTTGTATGAAGAAAGAAGACAGAAGCTGCTTCTGCAGAAAATGGAGCTGGAAATTGAAAAGGAACGACTCCAACATTTATTGGCGAAGCAAGAAGCAAAATTGCTCCTGAAACAACGGCAACTACAGCAATCCCGCATGGATTATAACAGGTGAACTTGACTTTTTTAATTTTTTTTTTTTAAATAATTAAAATGTCTAACGATCACATAGGCAATAGTTAATTAAAGTGAGAAGATGGAACTGGTAAGATAGGCAAGACCTGTGGCACAACTTCTCTCTAACAGTGATTTAGAGGAGAGGAGACTTCTTGGTATATTAGCATGTACTGTTGGGAAACAGCATGACAGCTGTGGAAAGCAGCAGAGCAAAAACAGTATGTGGTAGAAAGCAAGGCACAAGAAAAACAGTGCTAAAAGACTAGGTAGGAAAGAAGAGCAGTAGAAGGAAGGGGTTGACCTTAGTGCAGGCACCTGAAGGAATACAGACATTTGGCAAGAGAGCAGTTTGGGCATGGATGACATAAAATGTGGCATTCCGCTTTTTTCCTTGGAGATGTCAATTCGAAGTGTTACAATGTCCTAGGTAGGGACTGGAAGAAGCTTGTTTTATAGAAAAGATGGTGATCATTTTATATACATATATGGACTTTTTTTTCCCCTCCGCATGTATATGTGGAAAAGAAAGGGAGACCTGTGTAGCAAGGACATTTTCTTTCCAGAGGTGTTTGTGGAAGGGAGAATGCCAAGACTGAGGCACAATATAGGCTTAAAATTAGAAGAAGGGAAAGACAATAACTATAGAAATATGGGATGTGGCTTTGAAAGGCCCATGAGCTTGTTGCAGAAGGTGAAGTAACACCTTTCTGACAATGTAAATGGGTTCTCTGGTTTATTATTATCATGTTCCTGGAGTGGAGAGGAACAGTAGAAAGGCGCAGGACTAGAGCAACCTGATTAGCCATTGTAACTCAGTTGAGTACTAGCATTTCAGAGCTGGGAAGGGAAAGCAATGGGGACAAATCTGGCAGTCTTTCAGAAGAAGCTATAGGAGGGCTTCACAAGAATTTTGATACTGTTTTAATATGGCAGCTGCTGACAGCATCCCATGGGAGTCTGTATTACATGATCCACTTTCTACATTCACTTATTACAACCACCATGGACCAATATATCACTTTCTGTTCTTAATGCCAGCCCTCTGGTTACTTTTCAAACTGTAAAAAAGAATGCTGTAATTTAGGTGGTCTTTGCTGGTGGTTTACATTGAAGAGAATGTGTTTATATGGCTTTAAAAATATCTGTCTTAAAGGCAATCACAGTTGTGTGTATTGAAAATGACTGAGGTTACAAACAAAGGATTATGACTTCAGGTGAGAATTAAGTAGGAACAGATGGATTCTTAATCATCAAATACCTTAATTCTATGCATGCATCTCTCTAATGAAAAACAAGTGGAATATGAAGGACATAGAGTCAAGAGTTTTTTGATGGTTTTGTTTCTAAAGGATATTTTTCAACATTTGAGGCATCATAAGCCCAGAAAAAAAAAAGGACCTTAAATATATCTGTAATGATGGGCTTATTAATGCTATTTTAATAATTAATGCCTATTTTAGCCATTTTTTCCTGAAAAAAAAAACCCAAACAAACCACTTTCATAGTTTACAGAGCTCTAGTTACCTAAAATAATTCTGTGAAAGAAAATCATGTATGATTAATCTGAGGACTCAGTATTTTTGTGATTCCTTTTCAAAGGTACAGGTGAAAGCACATTTGGCATATCCTCTACTAGAATATAGTGTGCTTGCCATTAAAAATATTCAATCTCTTTAGAATTAAATGTTTGATCTTTACAGGTAAATCTCTTAGACATCACAGTTCTGTTTCAGCTCTAGGTATATAATTCACTTTTGCCCCTTATAACAGGGTAATTTTATATATTACAAATAATAAAAATTTGTTTAGCTAAGCTTAAGTACCCTTTGCTTCATTGTCAGGAGACTCTAACCTAGTTCATCTCTTGACATCATGAGAGTTTAAAGAAAACAGTACAACAGAAATCCATTTCCAGATAGTGTTTATTTTTTTCTGTTCTTCTGCATCAGTGGAGTGTTGGTTAAGGTCCATTCTGAGCTTCTGAAAGTTTTGTCGTGGAATGACAAGTAAAAGGTCTGACTGTTTGTAATAGTTGTCTAGTAACTCTTCTGCTCTTTGGCAAAAGTATGAACTGATCCTTTTTTTGTCCACGCTGCATTGTAACTGCGTTTCATTTTCCCACATTTCCCTATTTAGCCTCAAGTGGGCGTAGTGCTTTCAGTTCGCAATTTCTCACTGGCTGAAATGGTTGCTCAGCTGTCAAAAATTGTGTATGTGCAGGGAAAGGGCCAGTTCAGTGACTCCTTCTGATGCCACCCACACCAGCAGAGAAATTTAGGTAAATCCTGGACATGGGAATTTTATTCAAATAAAATGTCTATTGTTTTATTTTCTATCTTCACTGGTGAGAAGGAAGAAGGTGAGGTTATCTATCAAAAATGAAGTGTCATCTGTGAACATGTAGTTTCAGGAGACACACTCATCTCAAGCAAATTCTTCAGTTCATGCAGTTGACACATGATGCCTTTGAGCTGAGTGCTGTTGGAACTGTAACCTGAGCCCAGCGGGGATGTTTGTTACTGGATACTGTGGCCATTTTCTTAAGGTAGCTGGTCCTTGGAAATCAGTAAATTAAATTTTTCCAATCTTTTCCTCTATGATAACCGTTAGAAGCAAAGGCACTGGACATAAGGTAGCCTTCCTTTACAGAAGTATATTTGAAAGTGTGAAAACAGTCATGAAAGCTTCCGCATTTAGTGTGATTAAGTGCCCTGCCTGTAGGCACACAACTCACCTTTTTGTGGCGAGTTCCTGATGTGATGATTTGTCTACCAGCAAAAACATCTAAGCCTGCTTTTTCAGGTTTAGAGGCCATGTACCTGGTTCAGAAGATGTGCCCATTGACGAAGCATGTGGACACCTTGCTCTGATGATGAATGGCAACAGCATGGGGCTAAGGTGATTTCTCTCTTCACTTCCAAGTGTTTCACAGTGTCCGTATATCTTTTTGACAGTGTGCTGTTGGCTGCCAAGTGTATTTGTTCTTGTGTTTGTTTCAGATTAAGAGCTTTTTTTTCTGCAGAAAAGGTAAAATTCATTGGCTGTTGCACTTTATGAGTGAGCTCAGTAGTTCAATAGTTATGCTGACCTATTATTACTGAAGGTTTAGGGGTTGACTTGCTGTAGAGATCTCGGGTTTTGTGTATCATCTCTTAAGGACACTAGCCTAGCTCAGTGTGAAATGGAGTTTTCACAAAATCTTAGCTTTTGTTCTTTGTCCTAGGTACTGCTTGTTATTTTTTTCAATTAAGATAATAAGATCTCTTCAGTCTTGATTCCGACTTGATATAAAAAGTACGTTATCCTTTAATTCCCAGTATATCTTTTACGATTGCTGACGGTTACTTGTTTTTTAAACAATGCTGTGTTGCACCTCTGCTTCAGTGTGATCAGAGCAAACTACCACTGAAATAACTGGAAGTAGAGTTGAGCCAATATTTAGCCCTTTATCTTAATTCTGCGTGCTATTTAAAACTTTAATCAGTACATTATTGTGTTTTCTGTCTGTCCTATGCCATCACATTTCCTGCTAACACTGGAAGGAGATTTGGGCTTATTAGCAAAGCAACAAATAAAAACTGTGGATTTGACAGGGTTTTTTTTCCCTTTCTCAAAAAGTAACAGCTTCTTTTTCTGTGTTTTTCTTTTTACCAAAATGTCCCCTTTAGGGGGCAAGATGAACAATGGTCCTTTGAATCACCCCCTGTTTAGTGACAAGAGAAACCTTTAATGAGCTTTTCTACCGTGAGAATATTGTGAGAATATTGGAAGAAGTGTTAATTTATGCATAAACCAAGAGTCTAATATTTCTTTTTTCTTATTTTTTAATATTAAGTGATGTTGATTTTTGAGATCCCTCTTCGGTGAGAGGTGATAAAACGTCTTTCTCCAGAAAAATAGGAGTTAGTTTCCTTGGAATACTCCACTGCTTCACCAGGTGTTAGGCTGTTATGAGTTGCTCGCGTATCCTCCTCATATTCTGATGCTTTTTTGCTTTGTTTTCACACAGACCGAGGTGATCAAAGTGTTATCACTGTAACAAGAGAGATAGATAGTCATGATATGTTTAAGATGCAGTAGCATTAAGCCCCTTGGAAAAAAAATGTAACCTAGAACATCTGTTGAGCTTCTTGGCAAAGGATTACCAGAAACCTGAAAAAAATCTACATTGCCTAACAGGGAAAATGAGGAAAAGCTGTGCTGTTAACAAAATGGGAGTTTCAGATTTCAAAAGGTTCCCCACCCTCTCTTCATTGCCCTGGTTTAATTTACTGTAATTTTTCAAAGATAATATGTGTTCGTACAGTCCCAAGTTGCCATGCCAGCTGGTTCCAAAGTTTGGCAGCAAAATACTTGGAAGTTTTTCTTCCTATATGCCATCTTCATTTTCTCAAAGGTTACCAGATGAATGGTCCTTAAATAATTTACTCTAATGTAAGGCTGAAAGAGGCTACGAAAGACAAGTCCATTTGTCTCTTTTATGCATTTGAATATGTAAGTGATGTTTTCTTCAGTATCAAGAGAGAGTGTGCAAGTGTGTGGCTAGAGCTTAGAAAAGATCAAGAGCTGGTAGGAATGCATCCTTTTTTAACAGTCTTTTTTAAATTTGTTTTTCAGTTTTGAGGTTGAGGGATTTTTTTGTTTGTTGGTTTTATTTGTTTTTTCATTGACCTGCCAAGAACCCTAATGGGAAACCAGCCCTCTCTGATTTCCAGTACATACACAAGACTTCCTTCAGCACACCTCACAGCTTGAAACGTAATTTCAGTCTTCAAATAAGCAAAACTTAGCTTAAAAGTATCCTGGTATTTTAAAGGAAGTGGTAAAAGTCCTTTAAAATACTAAACTTGCTGAAGTGAGGTATTGGAGTTTAGAAGTAAAATAAATAATATAATCAAGAACTGAAAAACATAGGATTTTTATAATTAACAGCTCATTTTGAGTTAATTATCTACAATTACGAAAATCTAATTGCAATTTGTTCTCTACTATCTGTGGGAAGAATCGTAGGCAAGGGAATGTGCATCACTGCCAGGCATAAATGCTATAGGATAGGTACAAATAATAGAGGAGCCCTTAATGAAAAACAAAAAGCAAATAGGAATGTGCAGCTGTGCCAGGCTATTGAAAGGTAATTGTAGTCAGAAATGAGATATGTACTTTAAAAGGCATCTTGTCGTCTCCTGTAGGGATTAATTTTTACCCTTCTTGAAAAAGGAAAAAAGGATTCCATGAGCAAATACAGTACAGTTTGACTTCTGGTACAGATTTCGGTCATTGTCTGTTAAAAGGAAAACTTTTATCTCTGAGACTACTACACACACTAGCCAGATTTGCTAATGGATGCCTGTTTCATTTTCTCTTCTAAGTGTGCCATTATGTTTTTTTTCATTATCAAAGTCATTAAGGTTTGTCCATTTCAGCCTCTTTGGGTGGTACAAATTTGCAATGTCGAATCTGTCACTTTGCCGCTGTTGGGAGGAAATGTGCCTGTCCGTTCGCCTGCTTGCAGCTGGGCTGGTGCATGGGACCTCAGGAGTCTTCAGATGCAGGATCTCTAGTTCTCTGAGGTGCAGCAGTCAGAGCAGGTTTTATTAACGGTGTTTTTCAGTACCTCGAAGTGCTCCTAAGTGAGCCCACAGCCAGTTTTTGGTTATGGAGATAGTAACTTGTACAATTAGTGATAAGTTGTCTGTCTGTATAATTTCTTTGCAAGTCTGCCCCAGTGTGCAAGATGCTTTAAAATATTCAAGATAAAAACATAACCTGATGCATTTGTTTAGCATAAACCAGCCTTTTACAAAGCTCTTTCCATCTCGAAGACACAGATGCTTGGTACATGCTCAAGTACCCACTCCACGTGTATTCAGTAGGATCAATACACCTGGCATCTGCTTTTGTGTGTGCTCCTGACGTCTGCGTCTGGGAAAGGAATTTTAAAACAATTCACTCTTCTCTCCTTTATTTAATCTTAGCTTTAGATGTGAATGTCATGGAAATAAGCTCTGTTTAGTAGCACCAACTAGAGAAGATGCAATTTGCTACTTTGCAAGCACCTGTGCCAGGATTGTGCTGTGTGCCTAAATCTTAACACACAAGGTGCCCCGCTTTTCAGATTCCCAGGTTTCCTATACAGCTCTGCTAGTACAGCTTTCTCCTGCCTCCTCGCTAACATGCATCTTTTCCTCGGTTTTCACACAATCCTGATGCTGCACCTCTACACATACCTGTGTGAAATGTTATAAATAGGAGTTGTTGGATACAGCAGCTATTGGATGGGTTTGCTGTTATCTGCAGGCACTCCTTCAGTGTATGGTACCCGGCTAAAGCATTTCTCTCCTAGAGTATTATAAAGATTTGCAGGTGGAATTTGCCTCCTTTAATTTCAGTGAAGGCTTTTTGTGTTTGTGTGCTTCATTCTGTATCACTTGTGTGTATTTTTTTCCAATTTTTATATTTAGTTAGTTGAAAATATCAAACACAGGATTCAGCAGTGCTTCTCCCCTACTTGAATGCTCATTGCTATGGTGATACTTCCAAGAGGGAATGTTGTCAGGGGTCTTTTAAAAGATTTTTATGTTTATGATGTAACTGTTTTTATTATCTTGTGAGAGAAGGTGACAATTATCTCTTGCTCCTTGTTTAATGCTTTGCTAGAACTCGATTTTTTTTTGCAGCTTGTTAGACCTCTTTCTGTGGTGATGCACGGGCATGCTTCTGTGTTTTTGTCCAAATACTCAATGCAATGAAAGAGACGTGCAGAGGAACACAGACTCGCAGCTCCCCCTGCTGTCCTAGGCAACCCAGATTTGGTCACGCAACCTCCTCCCTCCACCTAATTTAAAAATAAAATTAAAATCACTCAATCATATGGCTCTGCCACCTCTGGCTTGACTTGCACTGGCCCCATTACTCCCACTTTTGATGGGAACAGTCCATCTATGGGTTGTCCTTGGTCTCTTGAGGTGCATCTATATAGTAGTTGGCCAACTTTTAGGAATGTGTGGAATACAGTTTGTTATTTTGAGTGCTGGGTTTTTTTTCATCTCTTTGCTGTTGTGGCAGACTGGCACATTAAATGGGGCTGAAATCAACTGTGCTTGCAAATGGCCCATAAAATCTGTGTATCTGGAAGTCACTTAGCCACTTGTTAGTGCTCCTTTTAACACCCAAGTTACTTTCTTCTTCCAGATAATTCTACACTGAAGTTCGTGTCATCTTTAGATAGGATATTTGTTGAGTAAACAGTTGTTTGACTGGTAAAAAAGTTAGCAGAGCTGCCAATAGTGCGAATGCTGAATTAGGTGCAGATACGAGTGGGTTTTTTTCTCTCATGGCATCGTCTGGCTGTATACAGACATAGCATCTCTTCAACAGATGGCTGATGGAGTCTGTTGTGATGTAACGGAAGAGAATAGTTGGAGTTAGGTACACATTTGTGCTCATTAGTGCCACGTGCAGACTCTGAAGGTAGTAGGTTTTCTTGCACAGAGTGAAGGCTATTGTTCTGATGTGTTTACTGAAGGCTTATTGCTGAAGGAGGGGTGTGTGGCAATTTTTGTATATCTATGCATGCATTTTTATTAAATTTTTTTTAGGGCAAACAGTGATCCTTATCAGACTGGGAAGCGAGGAGTCCATTTCTGCTGACCTGGCCACTTCACTAATCTCATTTTCAGGCTTACTTTTAACTGCGGGATTTTGAAGCTGCCTGTCTTACATATACCTGAATTATGCTGATTCTGTTCTGGCGAACACGTATGCTGTCCACAGCAGTATTACATCATTTCCATTGCAGTCCAAAATAACCTTGAGCAGGAAGCCTACTGATACATTTGAGGTATAAGATGTAAGTAGAAGATAGACCATAAGAAGTTTCTGTAGGCAGATGGATCCAA